TTTTATTTTTCATTTCAAATTTATTAACAGTTATCTTTTGTATTTAGTTTAAAAAAAACAGAGGACTGTTGATAGATTTGGGCTTAATTGAAATCAGAGACTCCAAATGCTGTCTCTATGTACATACATTAGACTTATATTTCTGGATCAGAGAATTGTGGAACAGGCCCATAAGTTGTGAACACATCATTTAGACGGTTTCAATGAGTTTTATTGACTCTAAACACTAATTTGGTAAGAAAAAGCATTTGTGTAATCTCTAATTGTAAAGAAATGATATTACAGTCACTCAGAAATATGCTTATAATATGAATAGTAATAGGTTGTTAAACAAAACACTCCCTCAAAGCCATAACCATAACCATGATTTACAAAACTACTACCATCTTCAATAGGAAGTTTACAGAACTCAACAAAGATTTCTTTAAAAGAACCCAGAAATTAAAAGTGAACAGTAATAATGACTACGAAACAAAACAACGACGACAATTAACTAAGCCTTTACAACACGGAGAAAACCCTTGACCATTTTATTTACTTCCAGATACAAGAGGAAAAATATCCCTGCCAACCAACAAAGAAGACATATGTTGTCTACTGTTAAAACAAAACAAAAACAACAATAAAAATCAGGTTTTGAACATTCCTTCAGTCAGTCCGTCATTGGGCACAGCCAGTGCATAGATATGTGACTCTGGAATTAGGCATTAAGGAAGAGTGTTACAGGATTTTAGCCATGAAGCTCTGCATTTCAAGGAATAAGACCAATATTTCCATAACTGTATATTTAGAGGAAAGCTGCTAGATTTTACCAGGACTGTCTGTCAAAGAACACACCTAAAAATAGATACACAAATACCCTGACTGCGGTATAGTTGAGAGGAGATTTGCAGCTATGGTAATTTCCAATTAAATAACTGGAGTAAAGGTGATGTTGCAAGGTTTGAAGTTCCTCTGCTGGAGGTGTTAATGTGCCCTGGCTCATTGAGGATTGCACAAAGGAAGGATAGACTGGTAGTGACCTTTCTGTGCTGTGTATTTTCACTGTTCTTTCCCCACGACTTCCACAGTGTTCATGTGTTCCCTATTATTTTCACCAAATGCTCATTGTGGTAGGGAGGATGTGATGGTTTCAGCAGAATTACTTAATTGGGTTTAAGTAAGCAGTACATGCTAAGTAGAGTAGGTTTGCTTTCTGGCCATAAAAATGTGCCTGCCGTGCATGCGGGACTCCTGAGGAACGAAGCACAGTGATGGATGTGATGATAAAATGATGAAGGAAGGGATAAAGCCTGAGAGATAAAAGTCTCAAAGGGAAAATAAAGTACGTAGCAGCTGCCCCCATCTTAATTGAAGCATAAATTTCAGGCGGAGGAGCTGAGGTTAAATTTGAAGCACATACTCAGAGTTTGTGTGTTTCTGTGCATCGGTGCCCATGAGTGTGATGAAAGCAAGGCAGTCAAAATCCCTGCTTTTTTTGGGAAGCATTTTAAAATTATTCCTAAACATGTTAAAATTGGAGATGTAGGAATATATCAACTTTCACAGAAAGACATTCATTTAGTTTGCAATTATCAGAATAGGGAAGCACTGGTAACCAGGCATGTTTTAGCTGCTGTGATGCAGTCGGTTATTACATACACAGGTTCTGCAGTGAAGGACTTGAACATCCTTTGTTTTTCCTCTCTACACACACCTTTCATGCCTCCATTCTACCCTTCGCCAGAATATATTTGAAAGTGTAAGTTGGGTTGTATTAATTTATATTTTATTTTTACCATACGTACAAATGCCTTAAGCACAGCCACGACTTATGTGTCGTCTTCCCTCTCGTCCTATGCTCCAGGATCATGTGTTCATTCTTCAGACATGATGATCATTTTAACACTATATTGAAATTGCCAGACTGCTGTGATTTCACGATTATTTACCACCCATTATTCTTTCCACTCTTTAGTAAGGTGGCTAACATGACTTTTCTATTTTAAAACCTTTTAACAACCCTGTATGTTCAAAACCATGCTGTGTGATAAACTTCTGTACACTGTGAAGATGTATCTTTGCCAAGGCATCTTCTGATTGGTTTAATAAAGAACTGAAAGGCCAAGAGCTAAACAGGAGTAAATAGGCGGGACTCCTGGGGCATGGAAGGAACTCAGGGTGACTCTAGTCTTGTGAGGGATGCCAGCGAGACTTGGAGCTAGTCAGACATACAGAATAGGAGAGAGGTAAAAGTCACGTCGTAAAATTTAGATTAACAGAAAAGATTAGTTTAAATTATACGAGTTAATTGGGAACAAGCTCAAGCTTAAGACCAAACTTTTGTAATTAATAAGTCTCCATGTCATTACTGATAATCAACAAGAAAGTCTAACTACACAATCTAGATCAATGTATGGACAGACATTTCACTAACTGTTTTAACATAGTTTTTTAAAATGAGCTTTTCGTATGTCTGATGTATTTTGGTATGCTTGTCTCTCTGTCTACTTTTGGAGAAATAAACTACTTGATGGAACTACAAGAGAGGGTTATTAATTTATTCTGGATACATATTGTTGTACATGGGTTAGGCATTTGAGGAATGTTTGGAGGACATATACATGCCACCAGGAAGCATTTAAGTTCATGCTAGATCAACTGCCCCACTAAACTTTGAAGATTATATGTCAGAAGGCCTCAGCATGCGAGGAAATGCACCGAGCGCAGGACAGATGCACTGCATATAGAGGAAACCCAAATGTCTTTCATGGTCTGCCTTGGAGATTCCATATCCCATCACATGCGGTAAACTGTTATTGAAAGTCATTTGGAAAACAATCTCACCTTTCATATCCTCTCCTTATAGCATAATAAGCTGCCTATGCTCAAACATATATGCTGTAGGAAATCCTACAGCCAGTACCTTTAGTTACCTGCCCACTTGGGCGTGGCCTCTTCTATTTATGCTGATGTAAAGCACATGGCCGCTCTCTTTTCCAGCTGTGGAATTCGGTTGCTGTTCTCTGTTCCAGCAGAGGATCAGTAATATAGAGATTCATATTGTAATATATAGATTCATATAGTAATAGATTCATACAGTAATATAATCCTCAGTTAGGCATACCTTTCCTTTAAGAGTGCTTTAAGGAAGAAAAATTGCTTCTAAGCTTACAAATCAAGCAAAATCTCATGACTTTGTTATAAACATTTTAGAAATAGACCTTGGAAACCTTGACTCCCCTCACACGTTTTTACATCCTGACAACATTTTTCCCTCTTTCTTCTCTGCCCAGTTCCTCCTCACCACCTCCCCTTGACTCTCCCATCCACTCTCCTCTTTTTCTACTCAGAAAATGGCAGGCTTTCCATGGATATCAGCAAAGCACAGAATATCAAGGTGCAGTAAGACAAGGCACCTCTCCCCCCTATTCTGAGCATTAGGAGTTCCACAAGAGGGCCCAGCTACAAAACTTTAACATATATGCAGAGGGCCTAGGTCAGTCCCATGCAGGCTCCCCCATAGTTGATTCAGTCTCTGTGATCCCCTATGAGTCCAGGTTAATTGACTGTACAAGTTTTCTAATGATGTTCTTGACCCCGCTGGCTCCTAGAAAAACCTAGAAAGAATTATTCAGAGCGAGGTAAGCCAAACCCAGAAAGATGACCATGATTGATGCCTCAAGCAATTGTCACTAGAGAGGCTTCATCCAGCAATGAATAGAAAGAGATGCGGAAAAGACAGAACTCAGACACTTTTTACGTAGTAAATTGTGCCACAATGAAATCAGGTAACCGCCATTCAGACAGATGAAAACAAAATGACTATAATATTAATGCAAATGATAAAACTGCAATTTGTGTATTTTCTGCTCCTTGTAAAAATAGTTAATTCTCACTGAAAATGTGTTTTAGAGGATACCTATAAACTCTATTTTCATACACTACTGTGAAAGTGTTATCCCTGTCTGCTGTAACTAACAACATTTACTTCAAAGGACTGTGAGAAGGGAGGCTGCTTCCTTATAACACTTGGATCAAATTGCTTACTGCACCTCTTCCCCCAAAAAACTACTTTTGCAACTCAGAAATGAAATATCCTCCAGAACGAAAGTAAACTTTACAAATAACAGTGATCTCTCCCTTTTTGGAAAGATAATGACTAATTGGATTATTACATGCGTATTTTTCTTGAAAATAAACAATTTTATTTCCCTTTCAATATTCTCCTTTACAACTTTGAAGTTTTGATATGAATTCTTATTTGTTGAAAATACTAAAACAAGCACAATTTGATAACTCTCACTTTGTATTCATCAAAAGCAAGCTTAAAAACCAGAGAGTCTAACATGTAAGCATTACAATAAAAGCTAAGTAAATCATGGGTAATAATTAGCAGTTTCCAGAGTTAAACCCAAAAATTAGCTAAGATTTGAATGAGCTTCTTGGATATTTTTGAAGCAATCCAATCTGAGTATGCATCATCATTTTAGGTACTATATGAATAAAAGTCAGAACAATAAATATCTTCAAAGAAATAAAAGCAAGAATGATGATATAATTTTCTGAATTGAAGCAAGCATAAATAATGTTTATAGAATCACATAACGTGAAATCATATTCATGTTTCTACGTTGTATATAATATGAATATGTCAAGTCAACACTTTCCCTCCTGCACCCTCAGAAATATGATTGCTGATGTCATTAGAGTTCAGAATAACTACTCACAGAGGAAATATATGTCACCTACAAGTTTTGACTATTATATTAAATTAAAATCTAGAGTATATTTGAGCATGCTTAATGGACACCTTACAACAGCTCCTTGCTTCCCTTAAGAGAAAAAGTCTCAATTCTGACTGTATACATTGTGAAGCAAAGAAGTCCCATTCTTCAACAACCTCTTCAGTGGACTTAGAAAACAAATTGCAAAGCTATACATTATTCAGTACCTCCTGGAAGCATACCAAAGCCCTTGGAGCAAGTGATGAACGAGCATATGTCTGCCTCACACCTTACCTGGTTTGCTCTTTTTTAAAAATCCAACCCCTGCTGTCTACCACACAAAGCTCATGGCCACTGGGTGAAATCCAAACCGAGTAGTTGATCATGGTACTTCCAGCGTGTCACAGGTAGTAGCGTCTCTCAAAGTCCCACAAGCCAGTTTCTTGAAACATGCCTGGAACAAACAAGACATTTCTTCATTAAAATTGAAAAATGGTGAGCCACAGCTTAGGACTGGGGGCATTCGCTACTCAGTCAACAAGGGAATCATAAAGTAGTGTGGAAGGGACTATAAATGCCACTCAGGATACTGAGAAACACAAAGTTGGAAGGCTGAAGTGTGTGCTTTTCAAGAGGTGTACATGCAGAGCACATTTTCCTTTCCATGTTTTCATTGACCTACTCAGGCTACAAGTATTAATCAATGCCATTAATATTAAAACTCATTCATACTATTAAATATATCTTAACCTTCATGTAACTGACCACCTCCAGTACTCAGAGTATTTTCTGATTTTGCCCATAATACTTTCAGGTAATTGAGCATTGAGAGACCACAGAAAAAATCCCTTTAGCAGCAACAGCAGAGTTTACATGATGATATGTACCAAACATAGTATATTTTGTGAGTTCTCTTATTCCACATAAAGTCAGCATTTCTAGTAGAAAAACTAGGTCGCCGTTTAAACAAAATGTGTGATAGAGACTCTTGAGTAGAAAATATGAAATATTATTGTAAATTTAGTAGCCCCTACTATCCATGTTAAGATATAGATGACAATATAAGAAAGAGATTGAACATCCTGGAGTCAGCATCTCTACAATAAGGGATGGCTGGATCCTAAGAAAGTAATCATATAACTGTTGGGAGCAATCAATCACATATTTAATGATCCAACCACTAAAGTCTGATGTCTAAATACATAAATAAATGCATGATTAATTTCAGAGATAGAAACTGGAGTTCAGTTTTAAGACCTGAAAAGCAAAGCATCCAGGCTCTGGCTCTTACCTCTACCTTAGTCTGAAAATGGCGATCCTGCCTTTAAGTTAATTTCAGAGTGAGACTGATATCTGTCTCCTCTCATTTTATAGTCCTCTCTAGTGCTATAGAGATTTGCATTGGTATGAATCTTGGTCTATTGATACAAATTTATGGTTGATTTATATATATATATATATATATATATATATATATATATATATATATTTCTGATCTTGATTAAGGTATTGTGTTTGTCCAGCTCATTAAAAAAATGTAATGCATAATTAAGAAATATAGGTAAATAGAGAGTCATCTATAATAGTCAAACTTGTAGTCATGTTAGTTAGATTCTCTAGATGTACAGAGTTGTATTTCAGATGGATGGGTATTCTTCAAATCTTTCAAACTACAGAATATGGCATTTAAAGTGTTTTAAGAATTTAGGGAGTTGCTAAGGAATCCCTTCTGGACAGGTGAGTGTGTGCTATCCAGGGGCGGATTGTCCTGGAAGAGAGCACAAACCCCCCTCCCCCAGCTCCTTCTGCAGGGCTGTCTTTCTTACACACGAGCCCCCCCCCCCCCCCCCAAGTCTTACTTTTCTGCAAGGTCCTTTGCTCCGGAACAGTTTTCTGCTCCTACACTAAGGCTACCCACCCAGAGTGGTGAGAGCCTACCTAAGGGGCAGGCCTCAAGGACCCCCGGTAAGGGAGCACATGCACCTTCAGCCTGTGCGGCAGGGTATCCTGTGTTCTACTCGTCACCACCCTGCCCCCCAAGTTCCCCCTTTTGTCCTCAGGTCATTGGACTACCAGGCGTCCATGTTTTGGTGCTGAGGAGTTCATCTGGATGGGAACGGTTCCTGCTTCTACACTGAAGAGATACACCCAGAGAGTCAATCACAGCAAAGACTGGACCAAGACATCAGGCCTCCCCTGGCTCCATTTGAAGGAAGAGATGGGAAGGTGTCAATGCAAGAATTCCTCCAACAACCTGAAAGGCAACATGACACCACCAGAATCCAGGGATCCCGAAATAAGAAGAATTGTACACCCTACTCCAGAAGAATTAGAAGAAATCGACTCAAAAGTGAACTATATGAAAATAATAGAGGACCTTAAACAGGAGGTGAAAAACTGCCATAAACAATTAGAGATTACAAACAAAAAGGTAGAGGAAATGAATAAATCACTCAAAGACACGCAAGAAAACCAAGAGAAACAAGAAAAAGCAATCAAACAGGTTAGGGAAGCGGTTCAAGACTTGAAGAATGAAATGGAAGCAATGAAGAAAACACAAACCGAGGGAAGGATGGAGATGGGAAATCTGGGTAAACGAACAGGAACTACAGAGACAAGTACTAACAACAGATTACAAGAGATAGAAGAAAGAATGTCAGACACTGAAGATACCATAGAGAAAATAAACACTCTGATCAAAGAAAACAGCAAAACCAACAAATTCTCATCACAAAACATTCAGAAAATCTGGGACACAATAAAAAGACCAAACCTAAGAATAATTGGGATAGAAGAAAGAGAAGAAGTACAGCTCAACGGTCCAGAAAATATATTTAATAAAATTATAGAAGAAAACTTTCCCAGCCTAAAGAAAGATATTCCTTTGAAGGTTCAAGAAGCATACAGAACACCGAATAGACTGGACCAAAACAAACAAACAAAAAAAAAAAACAAAAAACAAAACAAAAAAACATCTCCTCGCCATATAATAATCAAAACACAAAACATACAGAATAAAGAAAGAATATTAAGAGATGCAAAGGAAAAGGGTCAAGTTACTTATAAGGGTAAACCTATCAGACTTACACCTGACTTCTCTATGGAAACCGTGAAAGCCAGAAGGTCCTGGATAGATGTATTGCAGAAACTAAGAGACCATGGAAGCAAGCCCAGACTACTCTACCCAGCCAAGCTTTTGTTCACTATAAATGGAGAAAACAAAATCTTCCAGGATAAAAACAAATTTAAAGAATACGTAGCCACAAATCCAGCCTTACAGAAAGTAATAGAAGGAAAATCACAAACCAAGGAGTCCAACAATGACCACAATAACTCAAACATCTAGAGACCCTTCACCAGCACAACTCAAAGAAGGGAAACACACAAACCCTACTACTAAAAAAGTGATCGGAGTTAACAACCACTGGTCATTAATATCACTTAATGTCAATGGACTCAACTCACCTATAAAAAGGCACAGGCTAAAAGATTGGATAAGAAAACAGAATCCAACATTCTGCTGTTTACAAGAAACACACCTCAACCACAAAGACAGGCACCTACTCAGAGTAAAGGGATAGGAAAAGGCTTATCAAGCAAATGGACCCAAGAAACAAGGAGGTGTGGCCATACTAATTTCTAACAAAGTTGACTTCAAACTTAAATCAATCAGAAAAGATAGAGAGGGACATTTTATACTCATAACAGGAACAATTCATCAGGATGAAGTCTCAATCCTGAATATCTATGCCCCTAATATAAAAGCACCCACGTACGTGAAAGAAACATTACTAAAACTCAAGGCTGCCATCAAATGGCACACACTAATAGTAGGAGAATTCAACACTCCTCTCTCACCAATGGACAGGTCAATCAGACAGACACCTAACAGAGAAATAAGAGAATTAATGGAGGTAATGAATCAAATGGACTTAACAGACATCTATAGAACATTCCACCCAAATATACCTTCTTCTCTGCAGCTCATGGAACCTTCTCGAAAATTGACCACATACTCGATAACAAAGCAAAATTCCACAGTTATAAAAAAATATTCGTAACCTCATGCATCTTATCAGACCACCATGGATTAAAGTTAGAATTCAACAACAATGCTACCCCCAGAAAGCCTACAAACTCATGGAAACTGAGCAGTCAACTACTGAACCACACCTGGATCAAGGGAGAAATAAAGAAAGAAACCAAAGTCTTCCTTGAATTCAATGAAAATAAAGAAACAACCTACTCAAACTTATGGGACACTATGAAACAGTCCTGAGAGGAAAGTTCATAGCACTAAGTGCCCACTTAAAGAAAACAGAGAAAGAACACATTGGTGACTTAACAGCCCACCTGAAAGCTCTAGAAAAAAAAGAAGCAGACTCACCTAGGAGGAGTAGAAGACTGGAAATAATCAAACTGAGGGCTGAAATCAACAAAATAGAAACACAGAAAACAATCTAAAGAATCAATGAAACCAAAAGCTGCTTCCTAGAGAAAATCAACAAAATTGATAAACCCCTATCCAAACTAATCAAACGGCAGAGAGAATATGCAAATTAATAAGATCAGAAATGAAAAGGGGGACATAACCACAGACACAGAGGAAATTCAAAGAATCATTAGATCTTACTACAAAAGCCTGTGTGCTACAAAACTGGAAAATGTAAAGGAAATGGATACTTTTTTAGATAAATACCATATACCAAAGTTAAACCAGGACCATGTGAACAATCTAAATAGACCAGTTAGTCGCGAAGAATTCGAAACTGTCATCAAAAACCTGCCTATCAAAAAAAAGCCCAGGACCAGATGGTTTCAATGCGGAATTCTAACAGAACTTCCAAGAAGACCTAATACCTATATTCCTTAATGTATTTCACAATATAGAAACAGAAAAGTCATTGCCAAATTCCTTTTATGAAGCTATTGTCACTCTGATACCAAAACAACACAAAGACTCAACCAAGAAAGAGAATTACAGGCCAATCTCACTCATGAACATCGACGTAAAAATACTCAACAAAATACTGGCAAACCGTATCCAAGAACACATTAGAAAAATTATCCATTATGATCAAGTGGGCTTCATCCCCGTGATACAGGGCTGGTTCAACATACATAAATCTATCAATGTAATCCATCATATAAATAAACTGAAAGAAAAAAAAACCATATGATCATTTCATTAGATACTGAAAAAGCATTTGACAAAATTCAACATCCCTTTATGATAAAAGTATTGGAGAGATTAGGGATAAAAGGGTCATACCTAAATATAATAAAAGCTGTATACAGCAAGCCGACAGCTACCATCAAACTAAACAGAGAGAAACTCAAAGCCATTCCACTAAAATCAGGAACACGGCAAGGCTGTCCACTCTCTCCATACCTCTTCAATATAGTGCTTGAAATTTTAGCAATAGCAGTAAGACAACATAAGGGGATCAAGGA